TATTAACCTAGACCCCAGTCCTATGAAGGCTATTATGTATGTTTTCCACAGATTTAATAATCAAGGCTTCTTGCATATAAGTAAGGTTGGCAGAGCGTCGCTAATTAACGCAGCATCTCTCTGTCAACAGCCCTGATCTGAAACTGCTCTCAATTTCACAGCATGTGAACACTGATTTCTGATACTATTGATAAGCAAATGCCATTAAAAAAGTAACAGCAACTGTATTCAGAGCTTACCTTAAAGTAACAGTTTGGGAAGCTGGTGTAGAAGCAGCTGCTTGGCACTTCTGCTGCTGATGCCCTTGGTGTTTTCCTGTAAAGCTGGACTCCTTGTTCTTTGGATACCTGTCCACCAGGAAGGACTTGCTGTACAACTCGTGTGCAGAAGAAATTGGAAAACTGCTTGGTGGCAGTGGCAAGGATGTCCCATCCGAATGAGGAAAGATGGCGTGGGAGACCACAGAGGACCTTTTGCCCTCATTCAGAAATGATTGCTCCTCTTGGTGGTGGTGTTTTCCTCTCCTCCTCACACAAAAGCACCCAATAATTGGCATGCAGATTTTGCTGTGTTAAACAATGTAGCATGGCGTGGGTAGTGCTATGAAATCTTTGTTTGTTACTGAGGTTTGGAGAGCCTCCGAGGAGGAGCACTTGCCTATAAACTTTTGCTCTGAATGTGACCTGTCAGTGCTTTTAAATAGGGGAGCACAGTGATCTAACTCCATATGACTGCACGTTTAAGTTATCAGTAATTATCTCCTCTTCTGAACAATTGTCAAGCATTGCTATTAAGTCAGAGGTGATGTAAAGGTGATAAATGGGGTGAAAGGCAAAGCTCTGTCTGTTAGGAAAATGAGAAGTCCCTGAAGTGTTCCTAATAACTTGGCTTGTGACTGATCCTAACAAAGTATCTCTAGATGTGCTGTCATGAAACAACATGTCAAGCTTGGCTTTGGAGCCCCTCTCCAGATAGGCAACTATCTTATCTGGAGATAACAGGGTTTTTTGACATCTCTTGTAAATGATGTGTGATTCTTTTTTTTTTTTTTTTTCTTCCTCCCTCTGAAGTCTAACTGGATCTTTCTGAAGTACTGTGTAGGTCCTATATATGTGGGAATTGTTTAGTGATGCATAAGCAAAATTAATTTTTTGGCCATTTTGTATATGCTGTTGACTTGCCATGTGTGTTGGGTTTTTTTAAGGTGCTGATAAACTAGAAGCCTTTCCTATGAGGATGACGAGGGAAACCTTCTCAGGGAAAGGTTGATATGTCTTCCTTGCCTAGTGAAGTGTGGTATCTTCAGACGGTGCCTTGTGTGATTAAAGCATCCAAGCTACTTTGTCCTGAGTAGTTGGAATATCAAAATTTCAAAATCAGACCTGTGGTGGTGTTTGTGTAGCTTCTGTGATCATGCTGTTTTCTAACATCATGTGTTAGTTCAGTGGGTAGCCACAGCTGCAGAACTATTTTTAATCTGTTCAGGACCCTGGTGTTTTGTACTCATTCCCCAAAACTGCTTCAGGAATCCCTGCTAAAGACTTAGGTCTGTGCCAAGGTACTCAAGACTGCTTGCTCAGCACCAGCTTGCAAGAAGCCACTTAGATTTTTTGTTAATGTTACTGGTAAGTCATAAATCCAAAAGACCTGCCAGTGTGCTTTTTGCTCATCTCCTGAGTGGAATGGAGGCTATGGCTTGTAACTTGTTTCATGCTTTTTGATCTCTAATACACAGACACATTATTTTCCCTTCTGTGAGATGGATCAGCTTACATTGTGATAGCTCTTTGTAGCATAAAGCTCTTCTTTAGCACAGGAACCAGCTGAAATGACAATGGATGGTGCAAATCCCTAGCTAGCAGGAAGGAAGGGAAATCACTCACATTGCTGCATGTGGTGTCTCTTTTGTTTTCCAAACTGGATGTAAACAAACCTTTCACTTGATCAGAGTTCAGACTTTGGCTTTGATGATCGTGCCTTTATTTCAGGTGCCTGAGAACAGGTGGAAGGATTAGATTAAGTAAAGTTAAGTAAAAATGTCTTGCTGCTTGGTTGCTGGAACATACATAATTTTTGGAAATATGGATTGAGGGAGGGAGAAAGCTGACAGAGAGGACTTAAAACTGTTTTGCTGTAGTATCTGGTAGATGTGGGCCCTTATGAATGCCCAAAGGCTCCTGGCCAAGAGGGGAGCAAGAGAGAGAGCTGGTCTTGTCCTTGCTGGTTTTTTGAAGCATGCTTAAATCCCCTGGGAGATTAGCACCAAAAGTAAAACTGCCTCAACTATTGACTCGTGGAGCACTAGTCAGCTGTCCCCTGGAACGCTCTGTGCAACCTTGGCACAAGATGCCACGCTGATGTCACGCTTGTGGCAGTGCTCCCATCTCCTGGGAAGGCATGGGTAGAGGGCAAAGGGAACTGTCTTCTCCAGTCTTTCTCTTTGGTTCTGTCCCCCTCATCTCCCAGGTGGGGTACTGCAGCTTTCTGGAGTTAGATGAACCTGTGGACCAAAAGTTAGACTGCTTTGGAAGCAGGAATGTACTTTTCTGAATAGCGTAGATAAATGCACCTAAGCAGTAGAAACTTACTTGGGTTACATGACCCTGTAATTTCTGTCTGCTTTGGGAAGAGTCCACTGCTTCCTTTGCACAGCAAAGTGTCAAAAGATACTGCAGTACAATAGGGTGTTGCAAGCTTTTGAGCATTACAAAAGCGTGTCTCAGTAGCCTGTGTTGTCATGGCTTGTGCTGAGGTTCAAATTTTTTGACACTGTCTAGCTGGAACTTGTAACTGCAGGATTTCTGTAGCAAGAGCATTGTGAAGGGAGTGTTGCATGCTCTTTCTGAGCACCAAACGGAAACTGTTCTCCCAGGTTTTGCAAAGCAAAACGTGGCAGTGTTAGGCTTTGATTACCCATTTGAGAGGATTTGGAAGATGAAAACTTTTCTCAGCTAGTGTATATGGCTGAGACCATTAGCCAAGTATGTTCTTTCTAGTCTATGTAGTAAGTGACTTACCTGCTTACAGAGCTTTTCATTCACTGAATACCATGCTTCAAGTCTGGTCAGAGAATGGTTGTGTCAATGTATTTGCTGGTTTACCTGTACCCTAAATCCATTTAGTACAAGATATCTAGAAATGAAGGTATTGTGAGTAGTTTCTTCCTTGAACAATGTTTTGTTTTGGTATTTCCCAGAACTTTTATAGCCATAGCACTGCCAAGGATGATGTGTTGCCGGAAAGTACTGAGTTACCTCCTACAGGTAAAACTTAGCTCCTGGAACAGCTATTGCCTTAGCAGCAGCAGAACTGAGAAAACAAGTAAATATATTGGCAGGGTAGGTTGTGATTCAGTGAGACCTGATATAGTAAGCAGTCCTGGCTGTGTCTGGGAAGCTGTGTGGTGGAGATAATGCCATGAGTCAGGGTACTGACCCTTCAAAAGAGAACTGCATCCCCAAATGCCCCATAGGTCTTTTGGAGGAGAGGGTGGAAATTGCATGGTTTAGCATTGGTCTGGGTCCTTTCTGTGCAGACCAGCGAGGACCATCTGTATGCTATTAAACAAAGTATGCCTTTGATACTGCTTAAGGACTGGAGAGTAAATTGTTAAGGTTTGAACAGGATAATACCCTGATCTTTTGATATGAGCTCACTTCTGCCAGGTCACCTGTCTGTCATGGAAATGCCTATTATGACAGTATTCCTAAAAATAGCATTAAATCTTATGGGGGAGGAATTAATGTGCGTAATGGGGAGCTACAAAGTCAGTCCTCTGGCTGAGCTTTCCATCCCTTTGCAAAGCTGCCGCATAGAGAAAGGAACAATCCAGGCCAGAAGGGCTACTCTGTCATCATGGGCAGGCTTTGGGGTGGTGAAGGGGGTGTAATCGGTAACCCAGTAAAAATAAAGCCTGACGTAGGAGGTAGAAGGGGTGTTTAAAAGGACTGTGTGGAACTGAGTCAGCTGAAGGTCAAGAAAGCCTTTTGGCCCGAGAACAGGTTAAACTGGCTCCAGCCCCATCAGGGCTGGAAATTTGAGGAAGTCTCCTGATGCTGTACGTTCTGTCACAAGGGTTTGCAGGGAGCAGAGCTGCTCAGAAGCTTTGACACTTCTTGGGGAGCGGAACTTACTTTATCACCTATTTCAGTCTCATTCTCCTAGCACACCCACTAGAAAAGAGCAGGTTAACCCCAGTGAGCTGGGAGCCCTTCCCAAGGGCAGGGGAAGGGGCTCTTTGCAGCTGTACACTAGAGCTGGTGATTTGACCTGTTTCTCTGCTGCTTAGAACTCTAAAATGCCAAGAAATGAGCAGAGTCAAGGGAAATTTCAGTTTTGTTCAGCTTGGAAAAAATCTTGTGTGCAGTCCTTTTTGGACTGAGACTGAACTTAAATGAGACTTCCCATGACTGCAAATACTGTTTTGGTATTTAGCAGAGTTAGCTGTGTGCAGGCCTCAGTTTAGCTTAACCCAGTTAGGACTCTTTTTTGCTTCAGTATGGTAAAGCTACTCTGAAAAGACAAGCTGAGTGGCGATGTCTGTCAGCTCTGTGAACCTGTGTTGTCTGCTGAGGGGCTGTTGCCTAGCTCAGCTCCTGGCGCTTCCCATGTGGCCATGACTTGGTGGCTGGTGTGCAAGTAGCAAGTCTGACGGAGGCCTGTGGGGCTCTTGGTGGCTGTGTATGTGAACTGTAACTGAAACATCTGTGGAGCACCAAGTTGGCTCTCTGAAGACTGGCAAGCAGAGTTGGGAAGTACTGACTAGCACAGAGGGTTTTTTTGATTATTAAATACACTGAGGCAGTGTTTCTTCAGAGGAACTGTGTATGGGTTTGTGGATGCATCTGAGGAAGATGGATGATGATTACCTGGTGAAGATACTCTTTGAAAATCATAACCTGTCTTGACTGTTGCATAACCTGTTGCTTTTTTCAGTGACTTTTTTCTGAAGTGAATACTACATTTGTGAAATTAATGTTTTCTTTCTCTTCAACAGTGGGCCACTAGACGGATAGAAAAAGGTGTCAAAAAGCCACAGCCACAGATGCTGAAGACTCCTGCTGCTAATGGTGAGAGCTTGGGGTCAAATTGAGAAGACTAATCTTCTAAAGTAGAACTCAGTCATTTTCAAATGGAGAAGTTAGATGTGTGCGTGAGAGAACTGGAGAAGAGGTGGGATGGTTACAAGCTTGCTGTTGCATCTGATTGTTTTGCAATACTACTGGCACAAGAGCTGCTCCTGCAGAATGAAATGCAGCTTTTACTGGCTTGTGCTGAATGGCTGAAAAATCAGGGTATGAGGAAGTGAAGGGTATGAAACAACATTAAATTTAACAAAACAAAGTAGAGCTTAAGATGGAGACTCTCCTCAGCTGAGGGAAACTTTTGAGTTGTAACATAAGCTTGATTTTTTTTGTCTTGAAATCTGTCTTTAGGTCACTGCTTGCAAGGCTGCTGGCCAACTATCTCAGTCCTAACACCATCAGAGTACATGTAATAATCTCTGAGGAGGTCTGAATGTTTAGTGGGCAGCACTTTTCTTTCCCAAGCTCAGTGCTTTTTCTGTTGTAGGACTGCTGGATGGAAGTGTGTGGTGTTATACTTGTTGCCTTTTTTCAGTCTGCTGCTATTCACCCTTTGCCCCCTGGAGTTACCTCAGTGTTTGCCAAATGAACTTATACTCCTTATCTGTAGAAAGACAGCTGAAGAGTTGCTTCATATTTCTTCCTTTAGCCTAATTTTGAAATTAGTTCTTTTACTGTATCTTAACCCATACTGTGTGTGTCATGGTAGGCTGTACTAGGTCAGGGTTGGCTGTCGGACTTTGGAGCTGTAAGCACAATGAGAGCAGTCTGAGTTTGCCCAGGAAATGGGAGAAGGCTGAACAAGGTGTTGCAGCCAGTGCCTGGTTTTCTTCTGGTTCCTGACTGCCTTGGTATTGCTGTTGACTTGCTTGTTTTTGACAGCATTTGACAGCAGTGTCAGCATCTTCTGTGTGCTCCCTCATTAGACAGCACAGCTGGAAACGACCAGCTTGCCAGTTAGTAGACAAGTCAATTGTTACCTGATTCTATGAATGAGCTCATGCAAACATGATACAGTAAGGGGGACTGAACTGCTGAACTGGTTGTGTGTGTGTTTCATCTCCAGAGGAGTATCCTTATCAAATCTGTAAACACTGATATTGTATTATCTGCAGTCCAGGCATGAAACAGGCTCTGATGGTAGCAGGTCCAACTGTCAGTTAGCACGTGTAATAATAAACTGCAGGTACTGCACAGGAGCTCTTAAAAGAGGTTAAAATTTGTCTTATTTAATTGCTGACTTTAAAGTGGCTGAGGAAAAGTATGTCCCATATCACTCACCAGTGTCCTGAAAGTTGTGGGGCTTTTTTTTGGGGTGGGGGGAAGGCAAGGTGAGTCGTCCTTCCAAATAATGTCAGTGCCCTGCTATCTATGCTTCACAGGTTGTCAGTGATGCAGGAAGATATCCTTTTTGTTCCTGTAAGGGTGATAGTGTCCCATCCACATCATAGGTCAGTGAGAAGGCAAGAGATCTAACTGTGCTGCTTTAGCCACACAGTAGGAGCTCTTGTCTTCCTAGACATCTGATCATTCTGGCATGTAGTTTTTTTTTTCTCTAGAAAAGAAAGGTAAAAGGAGAGAGGACCTGGCTGGTAGATCATGTCCTATGAGCTATCTTTCCATAAAACTACAAGTACCTATTCCCCCTGGGTGTGTGACTGAGGGGTGTATAGTGCTAATATGTGCTGTAGTTCAGAACCTGGACTAACCTGGGTGCACTCCACTGTCTGGAGCATTAGTGGCAGCTGATAAAAATGGCCTGAGGTTATTCATATAGATGATTGCATGCAGGCTATGTTGAGGTGGTCTTATGGATGGGGATACACAATTGCAATGGTGGCCTGAAGCACACTTTTTAATGTCCTTTTATATTTGAAATTAAAATTAAAACCTTTCCCCACTGTAGGTGGCTCTTAATGCAGTAAGCTAGAGTCTTGAGAAGGTATGGGGAGCAGGGGAGATGTGGAGTCTGCAGAGCCAAACTGTGCTCTGTATATTGCTCTTGGGAGCTTTTTGAAGCATAGGACTAGCTGACTTGTGATTAGGAGTCTGGGTGCCTGTATGTGGATAAAGTACTTGAGGGCCAGGGCAGGTGTAGGTCTAACAGTGCAGTATGTAAGTTGGCATCCCCTGAGGTGACGGAACATGAGCAGATGGAGAGGCCCAATTGCATAACACAATATTTACTGAGGGAGGAGAAATTCCCAAAGATAATAAATTATAGTAGCTGATTAAAACAGGGTAAAGGTAAATGTCTGTATGCATGTATGTATATGCATGTTAAGTGCTGAAGGGGAATGTGTAGCACCTCTTCCATCTTTCCTGACTATCCAGTCCTTGCTAGGAGGTGGGTCAGGATGGGAGGGAGCATTGCATGTGCAAGGACAAGTTTTCCTGTTCCCAGGAAGAGCAAAAATGGTCCTCCCTGAAGGCCTTAAAATGCAGTGTGCCTCAGTATGAAAGACAAGAGTGTGACTGAGAAGATACCACCTTTCTCTGCAGTACCAAATACAGTGTATTTCACATCTGTTGGCAGAAATGGCAGCCAGTGCCCCTGCATTGGTGGTGTGATAAGGAGTAGTCCCAAGAAGAATGGTGGCTGGTGTAGTTGCTGTGTGGGGGATTACCTGCTGCTCCTTGATTACCTCAAGGTCCCTCTGTGTTAGAGGGCAGCATGTTTGTGCCGGGCCCAATGATAGGTCTTGGCTGAGCAGATACTCAGAGGGTAGATGTGTATCTTGTGGCAGCTGAATAACCAGCTCTCAGCTGTCAAGGTGGGTGTTGGCTGTGTTGAAAGGCAGTCCTCTTCAAGTTGGTGGGTTTAAAAACACAAAAATACTGTTAAGTCAGTTTTGAAAGTGACATCCCCTAAAAGAAAAACTTACGCAAATAATGTGACTGTTAAGTTGATAGTGTCAAATTTGAGCCTGGTATAATTAGCTGACTAGAGTATGTGAGCTTCAAGGCTTGGGGCTTGTTCTGTGACACAGAGAAAAGCAGCAGCTACAGCTTTTTTTGGTTGAGTGTGGTGTTTGCTGTACTCCTGCATAATGCTGCCTTTCAGCTGTCTTTGGCAAACTCACTCTACCCATGGCCAAGGGGTTAAAGGCCATTAAATGTTACTTCTGATTACAAGAAAGCTAAGTACATCACCTGAGCAGCATGTGTTTAATTCTGTTCATGATACCTTCAGGTGCTAGTGAGGTCTTGGCTCAGAGTAGCTTGTCCCAAGGCTGCAAGGCAGCTTGTGCATGGGGGTGTCGTGTGACAATGACAGCACAGGCTGGTGAGGCGAGACATTACAGCTGTGCTATCTCTGCTGTGCCAGCAGCATGTTAAACTTGAACCCTGGGCTGGTTTCAGCCAACAGGTAGGAGCCAGGGGAGCCAACTGCTTGGCTTATGCTGAACTGGGGGCTGGATGAGGAGGAAGCATTCCCAGTTCTTCTGGGAACTGGAGAGAAGAGTGGTACTTGTGTGATGGGTGCTGGAGAGTTGCCCTGGGCAGTTTCTTGGCTATGACCTGTCTCCCACCCTAGCAGCAGCATGGAGCAGCCAGGTTGGGCTGACCCGCCTACAGTCCTGGTTGTTTCACAGCTTAGGGGATGACTGAGGGAAAAATTGAACCACAAACTAGAGATCTGGTTTGGGTTTAAAATACGATGCTAGTGTAGTCCATCCTGCTAAATGTTTGATGTGGTGCATGTTTGTATAATTTAGATCCCGAAGGGCACGTGGGTGTTTGGGTGTGCCATATTAACGATTTATATTTATAGGCTAGCGATAGGACAATGCACTGAGATGGTATGCTGGTGGAATTGTAAGTTGTGGCTGCCAAGTTCAGAGCTGAAGGTGCCAATAGGTTTTATTGCAGTGTGACATCTCTCTTGAATGTTGTCTTTTAGTGTTCACCTCAGTGATTTGTGGGACTTCTGTCTTGAAGCTTCTTGTGTTATCCCATATGTATGCTACAGTGCAATACAAAGCTTTTCCATGTCATTTGTAATTTAAATGTTGTGTGTGATTTGCACAGCAAATATATTCACAGAGTTTTTCTGCTGGCAGGACTTCCTTGGGATACAGATTTCCACACTGTGGGATGTGTATTTGTGGGAAAGTGCCTAGTAGCTTGAAACAGTTGGGTGCTTCCTCCTTTCCCATTTTTTTATCTCAACATGGAAGCACAGAGATTATGCAATTTGTCAGAGGGTGTGTGACAGAGTGGCAACCTGAACTTGGACCTCTCTAATCCTAGTTGAGTGTTTCAGGGGATGGTTGTTCTGGTTAAATGTTATTGTAGATTTCTTCAGTCATCAATTTCTGGAGCCAGACTTGCTTACCAGAAAGCAGTTACTTGATCTTTATATTTAGCTTACACAATTTGTCCTTGCCTTTGAAAGCTCTAGTGAGAAGTTGGTGTTTATCAGACCATAAGTATAAAAAATGAAGAGGGGGGAGGAGAGTGAATACTTGCAATTTGTACTGGAATTCTGAACTCTCCAAGTTTCTTTTCTATTGTCAGGCATTATGTGGGCAGAGTTCAACTGAAACACAACTATTAGTGCTGAACTAAATTATGTCAAAGCACCTCTAGGCACAACTTTCTTTGACTTTCATTTTTTGGAGGGTTTTTCTTTGATTTAAACTAAAATAAAAAATAGCGTGGTCCTTTCTGTGCTTATAGAAGAGACTTGTGCTGTGAAGGGAGGGAGATGCATTTGGTTCAAAGCTTGTCCATGCATAGATGTCAGGTAGCTGTTGCAGTCTGGGGCTTTGGCAGGTAGCAGTAGAGCATGTCTCAGCTGAATGTGGCTGTGGGACACCAGAATGTCTGGCAAGATGGGTCTAGGGAGCAGGGAAGCCTCCAGGGAGGAGACTGAATGCCCTTAAATACACAGAGCACCAGGAGAAGGGGATGGAAAAGCCAAGGTCTCACTTGGTTTCCTCTGGAAGCATAGGATGGTCTTGGATAAAGTTGCTGAGTTGAGGGCTGGTTGGATGGTTGGAAAGGGTTTGCCTTCTTGCTTCACCTTCAGTAGGCAACAGAACTTGAGATATTTGCTGCTCAAGGAGTTTATGTGAGGAAGGGGAGCTAGAACTGGCCTACTGAAGAGTATGCTGTCTTCAACTACCCATCTGATCTTGCTATCATAGGAGGGGCTCTGACAGTAAATTTGTCTCCTTGAGTAATGCAGAGCGGCAAGCGATTTGGAGGAAGACTGTTACTGTAGAGAATTATTTCCTCATATGGTTACCCTTTCCTTCCGAAGGTATCATTGAAAGAGATGAAACGCCTATGGAGAAAGAAATTGCGCGTCTGCATCGAGTGGACTTTGAATTCTCTGACATATTCTACTTCTGCAGAAAAGGGTTTGAGGCCATTGTGGAAGATGAAGTCACCCAAAGGTTTTCCTCTGAAGAGCTGGTGTCCTGGAATCTCCTTACAAGGACTAATGTCAACTTCCACTACATCAGTCTGAGGCTGACTGTTGTGTGGGTCATTGGGGTTATAGTGCGGTACTGCTTCCTGCTGCCCCTACGGTAAGCTCCTGGGTGCTGAGGGATTTCGTCAGTCTGGGAACATGTAAATGTGTGTTTTCTTGGGAAATGTCATCTCAGCTTTTTTAACCCAAAAGCAGCATTAGCAGATATAGATGATGAACTGGCTTAAACTCTCCTTTGAATGGTTAAGAAGCCATTCTGAACATTTTTATCTTGCCATTTACTGTGGAGAGTAGATTAGGGCTAGCAATCATCTTTTCTGTGAATTCTTCCCCTAAGTCATGTGTATTGGCAGTGTAAGTGTAAGTTGGGTGAACTCTAAACTCCCTGACACTATACGCGTTGGGGTGTCTGAATCTGCTGCCTTTGCTAGACCATGATTTTGAGCAATGTGTCAGGAATTACTGAGTTAGAGAACTGGATGTGTCAAGTATCTAAGGAATAATTGAATTCCTGCAATCCCTTTCCATTTTGAAGTGGAAAGTGATATTAAAATGAGCAAAATTACTTTTTTGATTTAGTATCCATTTTGTCCTTAGGTTTACCCTTGCTGCCATTGGGATTTCCTCAATGATTGTGGGGACAACAATGGTAGGACAGCTGCCAAACAGCAGGTAGGTACGGTGTGTGGCACGTGAGGGACAAACTTGCCAATTTGCATCAGTGTAAACAGCTCAAGATTAGGACTGGACAGATTTTACAAGTGATAGACTACTGATAGTCCACTCCACCCACAGACTTGCGGCCTTGCTTTTAGTAGCATTTTGAACTTGGGCTGAGGTTGACTTCTTGCCAGACTTGGCACTGAGGTTGGTGGCTTCTGATGGGCTCCTATTACTCTCATGAGAGACTTAAAGGGAGTATTGTAGGGAAGATAATAGTGCTGGGATAAAAAAATACCCAGTGAGGAGATGACAGCCTTGCTGTGGTAAGTGAGACCAAGGGTATGACATGTCTTGGCTGAGCTGCTGTAGCAAGTGAGTAGTAGAGCTGGGAATGTCGCTCTGTGCTCCAGACTACCAGGAAAATTTCAGCCCTGAGTTGTGTTGAGTAGACTGAAGAATATTGTGCGTGTGTCTAGCTGCTTTCCAGGATCCTCCAGATGTCTGTGATTTCTTTCAGTGTGAAAAACTATCTGAGTGAAGTGGTCCACCTCACGTGCTCCCGCATCCTTGTCAGAGCTCTGTCTGGTACTATCCGTTACCATAACAAGTGAGTGAGCTGCTGTTATGATAGCAAAAGTGTGTGTATACTTCTGTGTGTGCGAGTATCCCATTTGAGATGGGGCAGCTCTTTCCTGATCTGCAGGTTAATGTCATGCTAGATGCTGGCTCACCTGACAGCTTTATGGATCTGTTGTATGTGTAATGTGGTGCTTAGTGCACTGGTAGTCTAACAAAAAATTATGTAATTGCAGGGAAAACAAACCTCAGAAAGGAGGAATTTGTGTTGCCAACCACACATCACCGATAGATGCGATCATTTTGACAAATGATGGATGCTATGCAATGGTATGGGGAGATCCATGATGACCACAGCAGAGGGAGAGAGGCCAGGAAAGGGAAAGATTGCGGGGTATTGGTTGTGGAGTTCATTACTTAACAGCAGAGATGTTAACTTGAGCACTAGTCAGTGGGGAAAAGTGTAAATTGTGTTGAAGTTGGTCTACAAGTTACGTGCTGGTTAAGTTGTCCTTGCAGCGTCAATGCTAGGCTCTTCATCTGGTGAAATACTTGAGATATGCTTCCATGCCTGTGTCTAGATCCTTTCAGGTGAATGCATTTTAATATTTTTTGTGGGCACTGCCCAATCCTGGTTTGCAGTCTCCAGTGTGTTTGGGGTTTGTTTTTTTTTTTTTTGAGGGGGATGCAGAAGAGGAAGTTCTGCTTTTCGGGTGTCTCATAAGCTGATGTGCCTTACTGGGCTTGCAGGTTGGCCAGGTTCACGGTGGACTAATGGGAGTTATTCAGAGAGCCGCAGTCAAGGCCTGTCCTCACGTCTGGTTTGAACGCTCGGAAGTCAAAGACCGCCATCTAGTGACAAAAAGGTGAGGCGTGGGTTGGAGCCGGGGATTGCCGTGCACCCGAGGGGCCACGCCCGGGTATGCAATCCCTGACGAGTCGTTGAACGATCAAAGACCCAGATGAGGAATTAAAACTTTGGAAAGACAGAAGCCCAAGAAGCTGATGATAAGGTTGTAGTGGGAAATGGGGAACTTGGAGCCTTGGGGTCTTAAGAGGGCAAAAGGCCTACTTGCGAAAGCATCTTCTTTTAGCAGGAGCCATATCTAGTCTTATTCCAAATGATGATTGCTGCTCATAAATGCTAATCACAGGGATACAAGTTATCTGTAATGCCACATTACTGTAGGCTGGAATAATGCAGGGTATTGCAAATTGGTAGGTGTAGGTAGGAGTGGAAGCAATCAGTATAGTAGTGGCTCAGCAGAAGTTCTTGGAGTGAGTTGGAGGGGTGGTATGCAGCAAACTGCATCATTCAGGATGGCCTGAATGTGCTTGCTTGTGTGGGCTTTGGTACAGTAGAATGTGGTCAGAAAGTCAGGTTCCCAGGTCACCAAGGAAGGCTTGAAAAGTTTTTACAGGTTGAACCAGTTCAGACCAAAGGTTCTGGTAAGGTCTGGATTGCAGCAGGCTGTCACAAAACATCTCATTTGGGTAGCCATCAGCATAATAACTAATGGCTGATGAATTCAGATATACATTTTGAAAGGATGTGAAGATACTTCAAATTCTGGGATTTTCCATTGAAGAGAAGTATTGATGGAAAAAATGGGCTTTCTGTGACATGAACTGTCTCGACTTCATTCGGAATTGTGAGCCACTAGAAATAACAAGCTTTGCTTGTTTGGGTGAGGGGCAAAAATGTGTCTAGTTAAACTGAGCTGCTTACAAAGGCAGTTTTCTGCAGAATGTCACTAAAGGCATACCCATGAACACTGTAGTACAGTGATAGAAATTCTTCCTAATTTTTAAAGAACTTGTAGGTTAATTTTGGCAGGTTAACATCTTTACCACCTCACTGGCCTCTGTGCAGCAGGAGAGCTTTGCCAGGTCATCCAAGTGCTCAAGTAGTGTGAGCTTGTAGGCATTTAGGAGTCCTCTATTTAAGAACTCTGCTGTTAAGTAAGCAGAGCCTGGATAGACCACTGCACAAACTTTCTTATGCAGGCAATTTCTTGCAGGTTGAGTTGATCAGAGTTAATTGGGCTGACTTAATGGCATACATTTGTTGGCTTCCCTGACAGTCATTAATAAAATAACACGGAGGAAGGAAAACAGGATATTGCCTCAGTGTAGTGCACCAGGGGCCTAAGGGATGGCTTGCACAAAGTTTCAGACTTTTCAGAAACAGAAAGGCAAATACAAATTAGTGTCCAGTAAAAGGGTTTTCTTTCAAATGTGTTAATGTAAAGATATTTCTAATGTACCTGCCTGGGTAAAGGAGAGTGGAAAGAAGCTATTTTCTTTTTAAGCTTTCCTTCTGCTTCCACAGACTCAGGGAACATGTGGCGGATAAGAGCAAGCTCCCGATCTTAATTTTTCCAGAAGGTAAGAAGCTGAACTGCTCCTTATCTCCATTCAGTGTAGATATCATCCCTGTTTACTTTTCATGGCTTCTGGTGCTCAAATGTGTCTTCTCTGGCTTAGATTTTATTAGGGCATTCCTATTTTTTGTCTTTAATATGAAATTACATGAAGACAACACAATACTGTCCCTGGCTGTTGGGTCTCCTGGCAGAAGCTGTAGGCAGAAGAATGGGAAGATTGTTTCTTTTGCCCTGTGAATGTCAGTTTGCTGTCCTACAGATCTAACTTCAGCCTTGTGCTTTTTGTCTCACACGTGTTCTGGCTTCATTCAGGGAGACAGTCACAAGACAAAGAATGAAAGCAAGCAGGGGAGAGATGCTTAACGTACCCGTAAAGGGCCTTCATTTGGTCCTCAGTGAGTGTAAGATCTGTACATTGAAGTAGTGTTGCTACTGAAATGTGGTAGGCTGTGTGAAGTAATGACTTCAGTTTCTCTTCTGTACAGGGACCTGCATAAACAATACATCTGTGATGATGTTCAAGAAGGGGAGCTTTGAAATAGGAGGGACAATCTATCCTGTTGCAATCAAAGTAAGTGGAAATAGCTGGCTGCTGAATATCAAAGTTTGGGTTCTGTTTTTGTCAGGGTGGTATGAAGCTGTCTTGGTACAGCTGTTAATGAAAGCACAGTAGCTCTGGCAATTGGCTGTATGCTGTGGATGACTCCTAGAGTGTAAGTGGCTAAAATGAAAGTGAAGTCCTTCAGTCTATGGGGCCTGGGTGGTAGGACCTGGTAGGGTCAGCTTCTTCCTTCAGAAAGCTGGAAGGAAGGGAGATCCAGCTAGTCCTTCCTAGTGCTGAAGGGAAGAGAAGCATGGAGCTTGGAGCAAACTTAGCTCTTTTGGCTGTTTGGGTGAATGGGTGACATCTGCTGTTGGTTCTGTCATGTAATCACCAGCAGCACTAATAAGCACAGGCTAATTTTTCTAAAGCCTCATTCTAAGCAAACATATCAGTTGTGAATTTTCTTTTACTCTGGCATGTGACTGAAAGCATCCACCTCAGATCTGAGACAGGCCATGATGGTCTGTGGGGAAACGGTTTTATAATTTGGTTTTTTTTTTGTGGTCCCTTACAGTATGATCCTCAGTTTGGAGACGCATTCTGGAACAGCAGCAAATATAACATCGTGAGCTATTTGCTGCGAATAATGACCAGCTGGGCCATTGTTTGCAATGTGTGGTACATGCCACCGATGGTTAGAAAGGTAATCAAGCATCTGGTTGA